TGATATCTTTTTATTGGAGAGCCACATAGTTTGGGAGAGGTGTTGGACAAGGAAGGTTCCAGGCACTAAAGTGCCCGTCCTCAGGTCTAAGCATGATCCAGGTTATTCCCTTCTATAATCATCACCAGCCTAAGACGACAGTTTGGCCAGATCAAGAGGTTTGATAATTCAGTTTCTGAGGTCAGCACTGCAAGGTTAAGCTTAAACATTGATCTAATCCAGTTTCTCTTTTTTAAGTCTGTACAGTAAAATCCGAGAGCCATACAAAAATGCTGAGCTACCAACACTAAGGTATCCAGACTGAATACAGGGAAGGGGGGGGGAAAGAGGGAATGGGGAGAATAAAAAAAAAAAAAAAGCAAGCAGCTTTAGCTTCCTTGTGGAATTTAAAAGAACAGCCTAAAAAATGCAATGTTTCTGGATTACCCACACATGCTCCAAGCATCTCCATGATGAGATCCTTCCCCCTCACTTAATACATCAGCATCTGTCTACAACCAAGGCGATTTGTGAGCCTTTTAAAGATGTCCTTTACCAACCAACCCATCAGTGCCCTGGTCTCATTAACAGCATTAGGACTAACTGTAAAGACAGGGCTCCATTAAAGATGCTGGTCTTCATGTAGTACTGACACTGTTCTCACTGGATGAATATAAATATTATGTCACCCCTCCCCTCTCCTGAGAACAGGTTTCAGCGCTACACAAATGTTACCTACACTGAATCACATTTGCTAGCTATCAAGAATTATTTAAAACCATCTAAATCCTCTTAAATGTGGCTATAGTTTCATTTGTTCAAATCTCCAGTATCCGTTATCTGCAAGCTTATTCTACCCCTACATCCCAGCCAAATGGTTGTACAATATGAAGTCCTTGCCTGAAGTTAGATTTCAGCTGCTTCCAAACCCTCCCATGCCTAAACAAGACTTTTTTTTTTGGAGATAGCCAGAACAGCCCAAATGCATTCCTAAAGCAAGCACAAAAAGTCTTACTGACCAACACATGAGTTCAAAGGGCAATGCAGAAGTGAATTCTGAATTCAAGCACTATCTTTTAAATGGAATAGGTTTTTTTATAGATTGTTACGAGACTTATCCAAGTCAACTATCCAGCCACTAACTAGGCTACTGTAATGCATCCCACCTGAGGGCATGTAAACTTATGCCTCTTCAGCTTTTTTCGTTTTCATTTTCTTTGCATCCTTCCTGCCCCCCTCCCAATCCTGAACTTCAGGTGTTCTGCATCTAATTCCTCTCCCAGATTTTGATGTCCTTTGAGGAATAGATCTGTATTTGGTATTTCCTTTACCCTTAGTGAAACAAATGCACTCGCTGAAAGATGCTTAGCAATTTGTGTCAGAAGATGAAAGCTTCAGAGGAACATCTCTGGCTTCTGAAAATTTGCAGCTTTATGGAACTCTAAAGGGAATAATACAAACCTCATTTCATAGAGGTAAAGAATGACACCCTCCCTCCTTTCTCTCCTGCGCACACAGGGTCTGAAAGGTACACTTTTAATTAAAGATGTAAAATCAGCAGAAAGCGTATATCTAAGAAAAAGATTTTTTAGTTTAAAGAGTTTCCTTACAAATTAAATGAAGCAACTGCTTTTATAGCTGTTATCCTGCCACACATTCTGGTGAAAGGAAAGTTTTACCTTAGAAATGTTAGGTCAACAACTCAATAGTCTTACTACTGAATTAGGCATGAGAACAATACCATTTACTGTTTTCCAGTTCTCCAGACTCTCTACCTAATCTAACAGATTCAAAGAGGGGGCAAATTTAGAAAAGCAGTTCAGTCTTATCAGATTGAAGATCAGTGTAAAAAACCAATTAGAGGTGGCTCCTCTGTTTTACTCATTTTGTGCATAGCTTGCTTCTTTGGGGGGAGAGGGGGAACCAAATGATTAGTCTTTAACCCAGGGGTGGGCAAAATGCAGCCCACCAGGCCATTCTATCCAGCCCACAGGGCCCCTAAAAGTGTTTTTTAAAAATAACATTCATCTGCCCTGGGCTGCTGGTCATGCAGCCCTCGATGGTTTGCCGAGACTCAGTAAGCAGCCCTCTGCCCAAAATAAATGCCCGCCCCTGCTTTAACTCTTTC